ATTTTTTCAAAGGCTTATGTAAATTTTGTTATGATTTATCTCACTTGTCTGTCAGTAACATCAAATCAAAGTTACAAATTTGCCACGAGCACAGTAGTTGCACCTATCATTGGCTCAGAGGCCTTGAGTATTATATCAATCATCTTATAAGTTATTATATCAATTTGCTCATCTCTGCCCTACTTTTGAAGAAGAACTCTCCAAACTACATATGCAAGGCTCTCTTTTTTCTTCTCCTTTAAAGGACTTTTTGTCAATGGTATTTCCATACTCAGGGTTCGTAGCGGTCCTTACAAGTGCTTATAAGTCCTTATATTTGAAAATAAAATATAAAGGCCCTTATAGGTGCTTACTTTTTCTTTAAAGCCCTTATTTTTTTGTTTTTAGTGCTTATTTTTTGCTTTTAGTGCTTTTTTTTTAATCCTTTGTTTTTAATGAACGCGCATTTTTCCCCCGTACCAAAGCCGAAACTAAATAAACAACTTTTCTTCCTTATATGCAACGTCAGATGGTGAATCATACTCCCGGAAATTGCTTTTCCCCCTATTCCTTCTTGCATTAACGTAACCTATGGTGCGCGCGAGAGTACAGACAGGTGCACGTCGTTCTATTGGCCAAAGAATTGCGAAAGCGGTAGAAAATTCCGGTACATTTGGTATTCTCTTCCTCCCACCCAAATACTACACACGTTTGAATTTCTATCAAGATTTTAATAATTTGCATTCTCGTTCCGCGTGGTCAGTTCATATTCGTGTTTATTGTGATCGTTATGCTTATATTATGAGCATATGTATGAATATTTATAATAATATAGTTGCAGTAACTGCTGAAGTATAGATAAACTTCCAAAAATGGGTGTGTTTTTACACAGATTACCTTTCTAAGGAATAATATTCGGAATGGTTTAAATAAAAGGAAAGTAATCGAATAGTCAAAATAATTTCATTTTCTTTGCCAATACATTATACAGTATGGAGGTTGGGAGTTTCTCTGCAAAATCTCTAATATTGAAGCAGCGGACTTTTTTTTTTTTTTTTTTTTTTTGTCACTGTCCAATCTGGATTGAATAGGACTAAACGTTTTTGTGGTCTACCCAACCCAAACGAAGATTGATTCTATTTCGGAAATTTAATACACTCTGTTGAAAATTAGAATCAGAAACACCCCAGATTAATAAGTCTCTTTCTTTTCCTTTATTTAGTTCTTTATTCTCCGAATACCGGCAGGTGTTGATTCCGATTGCGTAATATCACATATAGAAGAATTACGCTGCACGTATTGCGCAATAACGTTTGCGGTATTTTGCATTGATAATTAATTTTGATGTTCAGTCTGAGATCTGTTTATGAACACTTTTATATGATGCACATATCGAAATGTCAAAATCATTTATTTAGCCTACATTTAAATCTAAAGAACGGCTACAGTCTCCCCCCACTCCTCTTTTTCCAGTTACTGTCCGGAATATTCGGGAATTTCCGATTATGCGGGTAAGCTTTTACTGTTAAAGGATGACTGCATGAAGCAATTTCCCGTCTTCTGATTTCAGAAATGTGCCTCTTTTTTACTTAAATTACTTTGTTTGGGATATATGTTAAGGGAAAACTGTTATGGAATGAAAATTTAGAAAATGTTCAGAATTTTGATTTAAGTTAAATTATTTAAATATTAATATGAGTGGAAAAATAAATTGTATTTATTATTAGGTGCTAAACGAATACAATTATTATGGCTTATTATTATTTATTTTCTATATTTTCAACTGAAATATCATCATTAAATTTTGTAATATAGTTTAGTTCTGCATAGTTTTTTTTTCTCTCATTGTAAACTAATTCTGTAAATTGAACTGTCATTTAAAATTTAAAAAAAAAAAAAAAAAAGTTAATTGTTTTCCATTGTTGAGGTAATGCTCATTCTCATAATAAATATTGCATTGCTCATATTTTAAATTACAAATCTAATTTTTCTTTTAAGGTTATGCAGTTGTGTATAATGTAATTAGACAGTTGCTTATTTTTTCCTTAAAATGTGCTTGAAAAGTACTTATAGGTGCTTATTTTTTTAACTAAAATGTGGCTATGAACTCTGATACTGCAAAGACACTATATGCTTACAAACATTTGGGCCTTTTCCAGGATTAAAACCCAGGCTTACCACTATGGCAGTTAGCTCCCTTTACTATGAAGTCAACAGGGAAGCTATGCAACTTCTAAGGTGCATAAGATGTTATTTAAAATTAGGGAAAATTAAATTTTAATTTGATGTTGATTTTATAATTTTTTAATAGAAAACAAATTGTATACTTAAAGCAGATGTGAATCTAAATTAAATTTCGTCTAATTTTAAATCTAGAATGTGTTTTAGATAGATGACTTATCAAAATTATTAAATCAATAGTAATTGATTCTTGCATTTTCCGTTTCATAAATATATGAAACTGGAAATGCAAGAAAAGAAGGCAGCTAATGCCTTGAAACTACAAAAATGGAAACAGAAGAGGAACATGCCAAGTGAAACATAAAATTAGTAACACAACAACCTTGAGTTTGACGTAGATTTATGTACAAGATCTCAGTTGATTTCGAGGGCAAACAGGTACAGATTCCTCTTCATCAGGAGAAAAAAGATCTTCAAGACTGAAAAGCACTTGTATTTATACTCCACAGTAAAGTGAATGAGAAGGTAGTTCCATCTATCAGCAAAAATATTAACAAAATTAAGTTAATAGAATGTTAAAAGCATTAGGAAAGACTGGATTGGACTAAACAAGTTAGTTATCAACTAAATAACATAATCTTTGTAAATGTGAAATGCTTTTACAAAGATTTATTTTGTTTAGTAAATGACCAATCCAGTCCTTCCTAATGCTTTTAAAATTCTATTAACTTAACTTTGTTAATATTTTTGCTGTTAGATGGCACAACCTTCTCATTCACTTTACTGTGGGATATAAATATGACCATTATGCTCACTGCTTTTCACGCAGTTACCTAGGTAATTTTTACCTTTTCACTTTTTAGCAAAGCGTTCTACGCTTGTGTTATTTTTATGACCAGCCACCACATTAGCGCACAATTACCATGATAACTGTTTAAAGCTGCACTTCTATATGCCAATAATTACCATCACGATTCATGATCTGCTATTTTTTCAAGTCATAGAGATTTCGGTTAAAGTAGATTGATGGGTGCGTCTTGGATTATTGCCAAGTTGTTGTTTCATTTTATGGTAACTTGAGTAGTTGAATGCTATGGAAACCATATTATGACATAATTGGTCATGTGATTGCGGTAAATTTGAATGGTGGGATGGATGGATTTTGTGTAAGAGGTATGTTGTTATTTTATGGTTTACATGGTAAAAATGGCTGAATGTTGTAAGGTTAATTTGAAGTTTCTGTATGATTTGGAATGAAAGGGAAAAAGCATTAATTGACTGGTGTGTAAATGAAGGTTTACTTAGTTGCCATTATAAGTGTCCTGTTTGTTGGAAAGAAATGCGTATGGTGGAACGTCAGAGGATACCTGCACTACAGAGGACATTTTTGACTCCTTTTTGCGAATTTAATGTGGCGATGCCAGTATACATATTCTAGTTCAGATAATTTTAGGAAGTTTTTGAGTGCTGTTAAGGAGTTTTGTTTGACTGAAGGCAGGGAAATTTGTAAATAAGGTAAGTGGATATTTCCTTTGTGTAGTGCTAAGATGAATTTCCTTTTTATGTTATTTCATTGTTTGATTTAAAATGTAGTTTATTGAGATTATATCTTGTTGGCTGCTCTTTTGTCTTTTTAAGTGACTATAGATTGATGTGTACATGGACAAAGTCAAGGGAGTGTGCAATGCCTAGCTCGTGCAATTCTCTGATTTTTTTTAAGTGAAAATAGGTTGATGTGTACAGGATACCGAGTTTGTGCAATTCGTTGACTTGTTATTTTGGATTTTTGATTTTTGGCACGAAAATCACTGCTACACAAAGCCCAAAAAATTCGACAAACTTGGTGTCCATGTGCCGCCAAAAATCACCAATTATCGCCAAGGGGCACCTGTAAATATATTTTTATTAAGATTTCTTTACTCCTGAAGAAGAGGAATCTGTACCTGTTTGCCCTCGAAATCGATTGAGATCTTGTACATAAATCTATGCCAAACTCAATGTTGTTGACTTGTTATTTTGGATTTGTGTAGCTGTGATCTTAGGCACAAAAGTCACTGCTACACAAAGCCCAAAGAATTCCACAAACTTGGTGTCCATGTACCGCTAAAAATCACCAGTTGTCACCAAGGGGCACCTGTAAATATATTTTTACCAAGATTTCTTTACTCCTGAAAAAGAGGAACCAGTACCTGTTTCCCTTGAAATCGATTGAGATCTTGTACATAAATCTATGCCAATCTCAAGGTCTTTTGTTGCATACCATGTTTGTATTAAATCCTTCCAAGTAAAAAGAAATACATAAAGGAGATATTAATGTAGATTTGTATGTACTATTTATTGGCTGACGTGCAGTAGCAAATGATTCACTTTCAAGTTCATAAAAAAAGAGGTGTGTTTTATCATAAATGAATAGAAGCTAGGATGACATCAGAAGTACAAATTGCTTTATTCATTGTCATGCTTTTAACAGTCCATTTATTTTCATTTTAACAATATACTGAACTGTTTTAACATTAAATGAATGTGTGCTGGAATCTGCGGGGAAATCTGAATATCTGTGTTGACATTCTATTTCTTATAAAAAAAAGACAAATTCTGAGAATTCTAAATTGAGTATTAATAATGTCAGAAAAATTTTACTTGAATATTCTCTGACCGAATAGAATTTGGAGGATAAAAGTAATTAAAATTTCAGGTATTTTCTTTTAATTAATTGTTTGTCTTTAATGGTATTCAAAAGAAATTTGTATGAAAAATTATACACATCTTTTTCTTACACAAGATTTTTCATATTTGTTTCATAATATCATTTGTATCTCATTAACTTTGTTTTATTTTAGATTGCATCAAATACCTAAATATTTTCAAGCCCAGTGATGGCTTGTTGCATGAGCGATAAAGCAAAAGAACAAAAACGAATTAACCGGGAGATTGAGAAACAGCTGAGGAATGATAAGCGGGCTGCTCGGCGACAACTTAAACTTCTGCTGTTAGGTAAATATTTTGCATTATTTTTGCTAGTAGGTTAATAAATCACTTTTGCATAATTAATTTTAATTTATTCTGTCTATTCTGTGTTATTGAAAGTGTTGATTATTTATTTTCTTATGTCTTATGAGGCTGTTTGACATCAAACAAAAATTTGACTGTTCTTAATCATTTCTTGACTCTCCAAATCTGGTGTCTACTGTGTTTCTTAAATAAAAACTTTGGTCTAAATGTTAGTTTTTGTAAGAGCATTCATTTCAGAAACTTCGAAAACTAATGAAAAACATGTTCTGTGAATTCTATTTGAAGTACCCAAATGCTCCTTGAATGTGTCAAGAGATGAATATTCTAGGAAGTAATCTGTGTAAATGGCTAACATCTATAAAGTGCCCCTCCCTTCTCCATAGATAAATGCATTGTACTTTATGACTATCTCACAAAGTTATTATAAATATATAAATTTTTTTTAGATGATAATATTTTGTATACATTCACAGAAGAAATAACTGACACTTTTTAAATTAGAAACTTGTTTAGCAATATCTAAAAATTTTTAGGCCAGTACATTTATTATGTTACACATCATGTGTATATTATCCTTCCTTGAGTATGTATTGCCACGAAATGGAATACAGTGTCTTTGTCTTCAAAGCATCTTCGTTGGTAGCTAGTTCTGGTAGTGTTCTGATATAATAAAACATAAGATCTTTAATTATCTTTCAACTTGTATTAAACTTTGTAATTACATAAAGGAGCGAATTATTGAAATACAATAAATCTGTTTCTTAATAATTTTAATTTTGTTCTTTAATATATCATTGATTATGAAGTAAAATACATTTGAGTTTTACTAAAGTTAAGGCTAATCATCTGCACTTATCAATAAGATTAGGAAAGCAGGTGATTTAATGGGAATAGACAAGTGCTGATAAATATGAGGCACAATATGGGTTTTTGAAAGGAACAATAAACAGTAAAGAATAATATTGCTAGAAACTCATTTGATATTGTTGCGTTTTTTTTCCGACGCCAGTTGTTACGTTATTTTCTTCTTCACATTCGTACAGGGTTCGTATGGATTTGGAGTGAATAATGACGACACTATTTGATGAAGTATTGAAACACACTTTATTTATCAGTATTAATCAGGACAGCTCCAAAACACTTTTTACAGTCCTCGATGAACTACTATATACACGCTGACATGATCAGCGACACAGCCTCCAGGTTATCAGCATTAGACAAAGCATTAGAGTACAACCCGCGACTCTGCTTGGTTGTTCTCGAAACTCCACGTAATCTTGAGACTCTCCACGCAATGCACTCGACGATACTCAGAACACAGCTCACGACTCTTCGGTTCAGTCATTCTCGGAGCTCAACACACTCTCTGAACAATGCACTAACCACGATTCACTAAGAGTTTCTTTCAGTGCACTCGACGACCCACTCTGCCCTAGCTGCCTGGCTGTCAACTTAATCGACTCGCTAGACGAGACACCAACTCGATACTAACTATCTCGCACGCTATGCGAGGCACACACTCGATACTGACTGCGGACCAGCAGGGTTTATATAGCCTTCAGCTTATGTTCGAGAACATTCTGGGCTAAACCAGTAAGAATTCGTTCCAGAAGGTTCTTCATCCGTCCGTGGTATATCGCCATGTTTGTCGCCAAATGGGCAATTTCTGCCAAATGTGGGAAGCCTGCCTTCCCTTGCTATTTTATGGCAACCCTAAAACTGCTTTGTGGGAAAGCCATCTTACTGTACATTTCATAACAATATTTAAAAAAACATTACTGTCTGTATCTTTTGGAGGGAAACGAATAGGTTGTAGGGTGTTTTATGTTAATTAGCCAGTTATTTACAATTTCAGCCTTTACTATAACTTCTTTCCATACTCCTCACCAGAATGCAAATGAGTTGCAAGTATTTAATATGAGGTTTTGGGATTTTAAGCCAGAGTTGGTATCGTGTTAGTTAGTTGCTAGCTCTGATAATTGCAATTATAATTATAATTATGATAATTGCAAAGAGAAAATGACACAGTTCTAAAACATTGTGGTGCAAAATACAGTGGTAAAAAATAAAGTGGTTAAAAAACTTCGCAGTTTTAAAGCATCATCGTCATATATATCATGATAAAAAATAAAGTACTTACAAATCATCGCACGACGATAACATCGCATTCGTGTGTTTTTCAGGTTTTAAAAGTTATAAATGCATTTTCGCAAAATGATTTGGTATCGCAAGAAGAAAAGAGGGTGAAAATATTAACGACACTTTACAATAAAACAATAACAGATTAACAAATGTGAAAGAAAATAATTTGATAATTAACCAAGTAATTTGTATGGAGGTAACCTGATACAGTTATTTATCTTCCTTTTTCTAAACATTTTTAGATATTATTTTTCATGAAAAATTATCAGTAAAACTTTATAAAAAGAATAATAAAATTTTTAATTAACTATGTAAATTTAAAATTAAGTGCTGTAAATTCCATTAATTTTCTGTTCATTTTTAGTTTTTGTATGCTTAAGTTTCCTTACTTTTTTAGCAAAAAGTTATTAGTTCATTCAAAAATAGGAAATATAGAAGTAAAAATATCCCTCTTTCCTTTTACGCTTCCAAATCATTATATTCACGTATTTTTAAAACCTAAAAAACACATGTGCATGATGTTATCGTCATGAGATGATTTGTAGGTACTTTATTTTTTACCACGATATTTTCAACGGCAATGTTTTTAAACTGTGAAGATTTTTAACTACTTTATTTTCACTCATGATATTTTGTACCACAATGTTTTAGAACTGCTACGTTTTCTCTTTGCTTTCTTTTCTCCCATGATGTTTTGACATTTTCGCCTTGTGTTGTTTTTTCTGCGACATTTCCGTCTACGATGTTTTTGTTATTCTGTTTTTGGTGGACACCTGTTGATACACATCGAACTGTGTCTGTTGCTATGTTTTCTCCAAATCAGAAATCATTGTTTTAGACATAACGATAATTTGCTTCATGTCTGTTAGAATTATTGAACCAATTAACATAATCTAAAGACATTAAGCAGAGTAATATAGCTCTATGCAAAATCCGGACACGTGGAAAAAGAGATTTATATGGCTCTTTTTTTGGCAGATCGTCAATCACAGTGTTCTTCAGGGAACTTTCTTCGAGCCCTGTGATTTTGGGAACTGTGTCATTGGGACGCAAACAGCTGGTCTATGTGTATACATTCCTGATTTTGTGAATTGTAACTGTCTGTGCTCTTTTTTCCATTGAAGTTAAAGTTATCTTTGCGAGTGAAGGACATTTTGCCATCTGTTCTGAAGGTCTGTTATTGACAAATAGTAGCCATCTCCAAAATGGTAGCTTATGTGTGACATTGATCAACATGTCTTTGAGCTTCTATCTCTCGGAACCAAGTGTGTACAGTTATATTTTGGCTCACATCAGTAATGGACTTTAATAATACGTTAGTTTCAGTCAGCTTCCAACCTTCCTTTGGTTCATCACACATCACTTTCTAACTAATTATGTTAATCTGACATGCTAACCTGAGGTAGGTGCATAAAACTGCTTATGCAAGAAGTAGTACATGAATACAGTTCTGAAAAATCCACCTGTTTATGTGATGTGAACCTCATTATCGCTAATCTTCATTTTGAATTGCTTCTTACAGTTATCTTTTTATTATTCAAATGGGTCATTTGACAATTAATTAGCATTTTATGCAACAACCTAGAATAAAATCATTTAACAAATGTACTTCTCTAATTTTTTTGTCTATTGTGTTGTAGCATCCATTCTATTTATTACTGTGACTGTGATATGAAAAGTTGTCAGCTGATGAAAGTATATTAAACTCATTTTTGTGCCAACACTCTTCTGGTTTGTCATTTTTCTGTGGTTGCGGACTCTTAGCCAATGAGACACTAAGCTGACAGGACATTTAGCCAGCAGGACACTTAAACAACAGAGACATTTAGCCGACATGATATTAGCCAACAGGGCATTTAACCAACACAGACATTTAGATGACAGAATATTTATCTGAAGAAACATTTAGCAGACAGTACATTTAACTGACAGCATGTTTAGCTGACAAAAAAAAGTGAGATTGTTTTAGTAAAATTTATTAATATTTTATTTGGGGGGGGAAAGCTATTTCCAGTGTACCTGGTGAGAAGGTTTGTGAATAAGTGACATATTTTTTACCTAATTTAATGTTAAAGAAACTATGGATTTTAAAATTGGACACAAAAGCAACCTTATTTTGGCATAGATTTTTGAACTCAATTTCAAGAATAACTGGGCATAGGGCTCTATATTTCAGAAATGGGAAAGAAAATTTCAGTTAGATTTGCCAAGTAATGAAGCAAAAGTAATTTATTATTTCTAGGCATGCAGCATTTTCCCAAAAATCAAGAATGTTCCACTTCTCATGCAGTGGAGCTGTTTATGACAGAAGACATTATAAAAATGTATTCATAACTTACAATGTGTTAGAATAAAAATTGAAAACTGGTTGAAGGGCTTCATTAGACTTTTATGTTGCAGAGCTCATACAGAGGCAGAGATAAACTGAAGAGAATAGCAATCCATTAGCAATGATTTTGTATTCGGTTGCCAACTTCTGGAACCAGAAATCTTGTGTAATTAATCTACTGATGTGGAACATATATTTTACTGTCAAAAAGCTTCGGTATAGTGTTGGCAAGTACTACCTAATATTCAAGTATCAAATATTACATAGTATGCTTATTAAAAATAAATAAATAAACAAAAAATTTGAGTCTAGAACTGAAAACATTATACATTATAGTTCTTTAGTTTAGTTACTACTAAATGCAATAAAAATATAATACTCAAAATAAATTCAAAATAGTCTGTAGCTGAAGCATTATGAATACTAAATATCTTTTATTTTTAAATTTTAAAATAAATAATAGCACTGTATTTTTTCCTGGTACTTCACATTATTGCATCAACTGGGAAAG